ATCAGGAAAAGCCCCAGTTGATATTCTCTGGGTAGAACTGAACAGCAGCCTAAGGCTTTTCCTGAATTGAACCAGGTTGAGATTCCAATGATCCAACCAGGGTTCCTACTACTTAATCCTTGCCCTCTATACCTGCAGCCATCTTTTCCCCTGAAGCAATTTTAATTACTTTCAAGGCTTTCAAAACCCTGCTGCTTAGAATAGGCCTTCCTTCCCCTGGCTTCACTCCTAGCCTCCCGGGATTCGGCTTGTCCCAGCTCCCGGGCTGCCTGGAGCCATCAAGTCCTGGCTTCTGTCTGGAGCACCACTCCAGTAGCTCTCTCTACCGCCCCCTTTCCCCTCATAGCAGGCTTCAGGCAACTCCGTGTTTGCATATGCAAATTAACCTCCATCTTTGTTGGGCTAATTTACATACTCACTCTGATTGGCTGTGGGCGTAGCCATAGCAGAATGATGGTTAAATTGCATACTTCTCTTTTACTAGGTAAGATAGATGCTTGAATGCATAGCTCATGGAAATGGGCAATAGGGTAGTGAAGACCAGGGGGGAGAGGTTGGAAAGTGGGGACAAAGGAGGAGGGGTGGGAATGGAGTATCTGTAATATTATCAATAATAAAAAAACAAAAAAACATATTTAAAAAAAGAAAAATATATTCTGTCTACACATCCCAGGTTAATTACAATTTGGGTTACAATGGGAAGCCATTATTTATGTAATGACTTCTGCCTCTGTGTTAAAAGTAATAAAATTGCCAATTCTAACAAATAAAAGATAAAAGTCCACACAATTACTGTTTTTTTGTTTTGTTTGTTTGTTTGTTTTGTTCCTTTGGTGCCAAGTCTAAGAACATTAAAAAAAAAATTGCAACACAGCAGACCCATCTTTTGCTGCCATCTTTCCCTTCGGCACTAAGTGAGGCCTGTTTGTGATGGAAGGAGGTTAAGGTGTTTCCTCTTACTTCCCTTCAGTAAAGGACCTTAGTTCCATCAAGCTCTGTTGGGAAATATTTGAGGGCAATATGTTTAAAATTAATTTAAAAGGCAAAGGGTTTTAATGCCTTTTAATATGAGCAAAAATTGATTGCATTAAAAAGCTTCCACATATTACAATCCAATGATTTATTTATCACTTCAAGCCCATATTATGAGTATAAACTCCCTGTTCAAGCATATTGATTTTTTAAGTGTATTTTGGAAGTGGAGAAGGAACTAAAGCAGTCTAACAGAATTCTTCTTCACCATCCTTAAACAGGACCAGGTCCGCTATGTCAACAGAGACTATTTCAAAACAGTAGACATTTTTTTTTTCAAATAAGTAGAATTAATCAATTAGAAATGTGGGTATATATATATATATATATATATATATATTTAAATAACAAAGAACAGGTCATATTTTTCTAAGCTGCTTTTTGGTGAGTTGATATACAAAATGTTAAATATTTTTAATAAAACATTCAAAGTTAATTGCACTAAGCCACTGAAATGCATGAAATATTGAAATGGGTTGTCAACTTTATTGGAGTCTTTGTATAACACAGAAACTTCTGTATTTGTTAACATGAAAAACTTCAAAGGTTGTATTTATCTTTAGATTCAGAACTCAAATAGAGCTTTATTTAAATTTTATTTAAAATTTAAAGCACTTCTAGTAAGAAATTTCAGCATTGTTTAAGTTAAATATGGAGAGAAAACCATTTTCTTACTTTTTTATGTTTTTCTGTTAAGAGCTTTCTTAGAGTCTAGGTGTTTAATAGAACCCAGAATAAATGTCTCCAAAAATAATTAATTTAAATTTTTGGGATGCTCATTCTGAGTACTACATAAATGTATGGTGATAATTATATCTATTTTTCCCTGCTTATGATACAAGGTGTCTTGCATTTTGGTATATTATTCTTTTTTTTTTCCCCCTTTAAAAAAAAATTGACTTGAGAGAGAGAGCGAGAGTGAGAGAGCGAGAGCACATTGATTGATTGTTCCCCTTATTTATGCATTCACTGATTGGTTGTTTCTTGTATGCGCCCTAACGGGAGCTTGAACCCCCAATGGTATATTAGTCTTATACTCAGGATTATCTCACTTCAAATGAAGAACTCCATTGCAGAGCAACATTTGAATATAGACTATCACCTGGGGATTAGAACATGGCTGATTGTCAGTTATGCATGCTGGTATTAGCTCCCTGGTTATTGCCCATGACTAAAAAGGCAACATGAAAGAGTGCTTTTGCTACTGGCGTCTGGCTTTTCTGCAGCTGCCCTTGCATCTGTGACAGGGGAGGGAAGAGTAATACAGATGTAAGGTGAAGCCCATAGGAGACCCCCAAATCACTGTGGTCAGTGGACAGAAGCACAAGTCTAAAGGTTCAATAGTTACTTAACATCTTTGAACTTCATTTTCACTGTTCTCATCTGTAAAAGGAGGGTTGTTAGAGGTTTAAGTAAACGTGTGTGTATGTGTACATAGAGGTATATTTGTGTCATATATATGTATGACCTTAATATATGCATGGATATATTTAAGATTATGTATCTTTTCTTAAGATACATGTGTGTGTATTCATTTAAGATATATATGGATATATACATATATTTGCTTACCATTTAATATATAATACAGCAGTTCTCAGAAGGTAGTGCTACTCAGGTATTACCTATTATTACATTATCATTTCTATATATGAACTACTAATGAACAGCTAAATTGATTGATCTGATGGTTCTTTTCCTGCTTTGTCTTTGAAGGTTCAAAGTTGTAGCCAAACATCACGTGTGAGAAGTTGAGTAAACAGAATGAGAAAGCCAGAGCAAGGTGCTGAGCTAAGGGACAGGGTAACCACTCCCTGAATACACATACATCAATAAGCTCTTTGTAAAACTGGCAGGCAGACTGGTAAAAGGCTTTTGCCAGGGACTGGCCTGATAAAAGCCCTCATAACAATTGCCTTCAGAGCTTATTACTGAAACGGTAGCCTTGCAAGTAAGTATAACCTCATGTAAATAAAAACACTAGAAGGAGAGCTTTGTAAGGACAGAAATTTTGTCAGCGTTGAGTCACTGTTGTAGGTGAGTCCAGGCGAGTGCCCAGCAAACAGGTACTCTAACTGTTCTGGAGCGAATGGAATGAATGAAAACCTTGACTTTCCATTAAATCAGATGATCACTTACAAGCAAACAGTAGCAGGCTTTCCCACTTCCTGACAGATTTCTGAGCCTGGAAATGCTGGTAAGCAGGTAGGCAGGGCTGAGGAGCAGCCTGTGAAGGGCATAAGATGCACATGTAGCAAGGATTTCAAGACGTGGATTTGGTTAACTCAGATCCATGCCCATGGGTCACACTTGAATTACACATATTTAGCTCAGCATCTGCCTAACTTGAGTGTCTGCACTTACACTTTCCCCCCCTCTTGATTTTTAGGAATCTTTTACCCATGACAAACTATCATAAAATGACACTTTCACTCTCTGCAATCATTTTAACTTACTATTACATTTCTACTCAGCTTTGACTGACTAATATCACACGACCAATATCACGGGCGGGGCTGCTTATATAGCATTACTTATAACTTAGCTCACAACCTCATAGTGGATTAAAATAATATATTCTCACAATTATGTCTGCCTTAATCAAATCTAAAGGCATATTCATCTTTACTGCTATAGCAAAAGTGTTTTGTTTTTGGTTGGTTTTTATTTCTGAGAAAAGAAGTTCCTTTTCACAGCATAGGCAAGCTAATAATTTGGATAAGAAACCATTCATTTGTACACACTATAAGTTTTTCTAATGATGTTTATAATGAAAACAGAGGAGCTATTGATCATCCTCAGCTGAGCCATATTCAATTCGACTTTTTTTTTAAACATTTAATAAAAACAGCACACAACTTTAAAGTACATTATTAATAGATTAGACATGATTTTTTAAAATGGTTTACATCATCTCATTTAACTTTGGAACTTGCAGCCATTAATAATAAGTCACCAAAACACTATCGATTTGTAATTTGAATTACACACCGGGCTTAGTCCAAGAACTCTGAGTGTGTCCAGAAGGAAAAAGAAAAATGTTTACAAGTGAGCTATGGCAGAAATATGCAGAAAACAGGTAGACCTAATGCAATTAGGGCAAACATTCAAGTTCATGTTATTTCAAGGAATTGTTTCTACTCTTGAAGCTCCATGTAGAAAGAGCCCTAAGGGTTAAACACGACGGAGGGCGGTATAATTTGGCTGGGCCCTGGGACAGGGAAGGTAAACATTTTACATGATTACACAGGAGCAAACATGTACAACCACAGATAATGTAGGATCTGATCAACCTTGGAGTTTAAGGCTAACTCACGTTGGAAAACCATCATTTCCAGGATGGAGAGCAAACACTTAACACAGCGTCACCTGTTGGGGCTGCCAGGAAAGACTTATTTAAAAAAATCAGTTCCTAGGAATGGTTTCACATTCGTCAATTTCTTTCCACTTCGTATGCGAGAAGGGAGGCACTTAAGAATTATTAACTGTAGTTTCAGGAGTACAAGAAAACACTGAGTTTCGGCAGTCTCTGTGATAAATATAGCAAGGAATTAAAGCGAAATTGGATTACAGAGAAAGCAAACACACCATTCAACCAGAACATTTTTTTGCTAACTCTTGGAAAAATCACTGGCCTCTGATTTGAAGAACTTCCTCGCCAAAAAACAAAACAAGACAAAAAACAAAAACAAAAAACAAAACAAACAAAAAAAAACCATCAAAAAACAAAAAAAACACAGCAGTTACCAGCCACCTATGCCCACATAGGCGAATCCTACAAGCTTCCCGATGGTTGGGCTTGGGAGGGCTTTACAATATGGACCAATTAGTACTTTGATGAGTAATATTTCTAAGTACTGTATCATGCACGGGTCCAAAAACAGTCAGAAAAGCGAACAGACAGCATGAAATCATGTCGCCAGAGTGTAGGAAAAACGCATAATTAAAATGCTAAAAAAAGAAAAAAAAAAAAAAAAGACCACTCCGTTCCAAACGTGTCAAAACAAATCGCATTCGTGGGTGGGCGCCCAGAGGCGTGGGTCTCAGTCGGCTGGCAGGTACTGCACTCGCCACAGCGCGTTGGAGAGCAGGTCCTGGTACACGCACAGGAAGACCCAGCCGGGCAGGTACATGAGGGTGATGAGGCCCATGAAGTTGAGCGGGTAGTGCGAGTAGTCCCAGGAGCAGGCGCCGCAGGCGCGCAGGCCCAGGCCCCAGCACAGCTCCCACAGGTAGATGAAGAGCACGTAGACGGGCACGCGCTGCCAGGTGCGCCAGCCGCGGCTGTAGTGCAGGTGGAAGTACAGCTTCTCCACCACGAAGCTGCAGCTGCCGTACATGAGGAAGGACCAGAGCGACGTGTGGCCGCTGCTCGGCCGGTCGCCCTGGCCCAGCACGTCGAAGAAGAAGGTGAAGAAGATCTCATCCAAGAAGCCGTGCATCCCGTAGAAGAGGAAGCGCAGCAGGTCCGGCAGCCCCTTGCTGGGGGCTCCTTCGGGGCCCCGGGGACCGCGGGGTCGGCGCCGCCGGCCACCTGCAGCCGCTGCGGGGGCTCGGGTGCCGGGAGGGACTGGGCCGGGGGCCGGGGCCGGGGCCGGGGCAGCTCCCGGGCCCGGCTGCAGCTGCCGGCGGCACCGCAGGCGCAGGAAGCGCCGCAGGAACACCTGCGAGTGGTAGAGCGCCAGCAGGTAGTGCAGCGCCAGGTCCTGGGCCCCGGGTGCCCCCGATCCCCCCGGCGCCCCCGGCCCGCCGCCCAGGCTGAGCGGCAGCGCGCGGCCCGCCAGGCTCTGCAGCCCCACGTGTGCCAGCGGGAAGAGCAGGAAATGGAAGACCCAGGCGCTGGGGCAGCGGCGCCGCTGCAGGTAGAGCCGCTCCAGCGCGTAGTGGGTGAGCAGGTGCAGCAGGCAGCGGTAGGGCGACGAGAAGCCGAGCATCCGCAGGTCGGGGCTGGCGGCGAAGCGCCGCGCCGCGGACACCAGCACGTCCAGGGCGATGCCGTGCATCCCGTAGAAGTAGAGGCGCATCCAGGCGGGCAGCTCGGCCGCCTCGGCCGCCGCTTCAGCAGTGGACAGCGGCTCGGGGCGGCCGGCGGCGGAGCCGGAGGAGCCGGAGCCCGAGCACGCCGGCCGCCGCGCCGCGCCGCCCCTCCGCGCCGCCGGCCCCTTGCCGTCCGCGTCGCCGCCCGCCATGGGCTCTGAGGCCGCCGCGCCGCCCGATCGGGGAGCCCGGAGCTGCGGGGCGGGGGAGCCGGGCCCCGGGCTGCGTCCCGGTCGCCGGCGGCCCGCGGGGGGCGCGGCGGAGCTCCGTGCTGCGCGGCCTGGCGGCGGCGGGAGCTGTTGCGCTCGCTCGGGGAGGCGCGGGCCTCCCGGCTCCGGAGTCCCCGCCGCGCCCCGCTGCGCCCTCCCCTCCGGGCCGCTCACCCCGCGCGGCCCAACAGGCGGGGCGGCCCGGGGAGGCGCTGCGGCGGCGGCGGCGCCGGGGCCGCGCGGAGGAAGGTCGGGGCCGGTGCGAAGCCCATCTTCCCAGCGGCTCAGCCCGCCGCCGCCTCCGCCGCGGCCTCAGCTCCCGGCCCTCGGCGCCCCTCCCCGCCCCGCGCGTTCCCTCGGGGTCCCCCGGAGAAGGCCCGGCCCCGGCGATCGGCCTCCTTCCTTCCCGCACTCGGCACCCCGGCCCCCCGCCCGGCCCTGCGGGAGGCGGAGGCGGCCGCGGGGCGGAGGCTCCGGGCGGAGGCAGACCTAACAGGTGCGACTGCGAGCTGATTGGCGGTCCCCGCGTCGCCAAAACCGGCGCCGGGGCCTGGCGGGTGGAGGCGCGCGTGGCCAAGAGCCACAGACTGGCGGCCGGGCCTGAGATCAAGCTGTGGTGCCGTTTCATGTCCCTATGCACAGCCAGCTGTGTGCCAGGCCCCGAGAATAAGCGGGAGGCTCCCAGCCTGCCGGCTTCAGGTTTCCCGGCATCTCTCTGAAGCATGGCCTCGGGGCCTAGGCTACTGTTTCAATCTCCCTGGCTAGTGGGCTTTCCTTGGTTAGTTTCCCTCCGGCTGAGGGCAGAGATCGAAGTCCCTCAGAATGAATGCAGTGGCCCGGGCTTTGCCCTGATTTTGCCCAGGCTGTGCCCAGGCTGTGCCCAGGTTTTGCCCAGCCTGGGGTGGAGGAGCCTCATAGCAAGAACAGTCAGTACCTTTGCTCACACTGCCACGCCCCAGTGCCCCTTTTCCTCCGTGCAGAACTAGGTCACCCCAGAAATAAATAATGGGATAGAGAGTGAGGATGATGCTTTACTTTCTGAAGCGGAGAGGGTGGGGGAATCCAGAATTGTGGTGTGTTGGGCTCCACGTTTTCTAAAAAAAAAAAAAAAAAAAAAAAAAAAAAAAATTAATCAGGCTTAGAATTGGAAAGAATCTTAGAATTCAATTATACTAATACCTACCCCTCCCCATCCCCAGTAAAAGTCGTGCCTAGGCAGAAACTAGGTAACAGTTGTAATCTGCTCTTCGATAAGGAGATCAGATGTTTCCTTGATAGATGACTAAGTACATTTTTTTCCTTCTTTGAGAATACATTTTCTGAGACAGTTCTCCATTTCCACAGCAGCCTCCTGTCCTTACTTTTTAAGTTCCTGATGCTCAATTTGTGGTTTCTAAGTTGTCTGTAAATTAGATACGAGAGAGCTATAAATATGGTGAGAAGAAAAAATGGTTAAGGGGGTATCAACACTCATATAAGGTCAAAGTACTGGTTTTTTATATATAGCATTGCTAACATGTGGTTTATTACAGACTTCCTTTGGCAGCTGTTAAGCGTCAGCGGGAGGATGTTATCAAGCTAGCTACAGAAGCATCAGCTCTTCAAGTCTGTTGCAAAACAGGGACAGAGTTAGTCGCCCCAGTGCCTGAGCAGGTACAATGAAGAGAAATAATAAAATGTAACATTTTCTTGAGCGCCTGCTATAGAAGAAATGCTGTGTGCACTGGTAAAGTACAGGATTATAAAATTTATGATCTATCATTCCTGTGTAAAGCCTATTTACTTATGATTGTTATTAATAACTAATTGTGAACAGTTAGTAGTACCTACCAAATAAAACATTTCAAATAAACATTTGAGCTGTTGTTTTATTAAATAAACCCAATCTTGGGTCCAGCTTATCAGATATTAAAAACAAACGCACTCTTTCTTCATCATTGCTATTCAGACAAGAGGAAGCTCTTCACGATTATAGCATAAATACAGCCATTCCAATGTGCATATGCTAAGTTCCAAGGTTAAACTTGAGTTGTTTTCAAATAGTAAAATAAACTTTAAGGGCCCAAGTCTTCTATTTTTGTTTTAACTTTTCTTAAAAATGTGAGGACAACTTTGAAAGATCTAAATCTGTTATTCAGTCAAGTTCCTCCCAGGGTGGAGTCTTTGACCTCAGGAGGAACAAAGCTGAGTAACCATGTCTGCAGAGATGTCGTAGTTCAGCAGGGCTGACCCTGGCCTTCCTGGACCATCTGGGTCGAAACTGGGGTGGCCAGTGTGACCAGGGAGAGGTTTGCGATTTAGGAGAACAGCCCTTGGAGGCTTAGGGTCATCTTTCGCTTAGTGTCCACTGGTTCAAGGTTGTAGTGTTTTAGATGCCTGGAATGTGAGCCTCTCATTGCACACCAGAAGAGCAAAAAGGAAGTGCAAGGAGAACACAGCACAAAGAAGAAAACTTAAAGGAAGTTCCATAGAGTGAGGCATGAACATGATGATAGAGAAAAGACAGCAACCATATTAGCAGTAGATATAAAACATGCCTTGTTATGGATCAAATTCCACACACACACACACACACACACACACACACACACACATTGTTACATACAATAGTCATCCAACTAAGGAGGACATCCATCCAAGAAGACTTGTGCTGTCTCTCTAAAGCTGAGTCTGGTGCTTGCCATTGTAAGAAAACTCTCTAACTTGACAAAGATTTAATGGCATCATAGAGCAACGAGGGCAAAGTTGCACTGTTTATGAGGTTTTTGGAGTCTTGTTTAAAATGGATTTTCCAGTATTCAGGCTTAACTGGAACCGGATAATGAATAATGATACAACTAGAGGCCCAGTGCACAAATTCATGCATGGGTGAGGCCCCTTGGCCTGGCTGGTGATTGGGGCCAATTGGGGCCATCTCAACCACTCCTGATTGGGCTGGCCAGCCAAGCGGGGGAGGACTGAGGGAGGTTGGCTGGCAGCAGGATGGTGGTGGTATTGAGGGTCTGCACCCTGGTGGTCAGTGCATATCATAGCTACCAGCCTGGTTGTCCAGTTGTAATGGTTGCTTAAGCTTTTATATATGTAGATGGCTTAAGACTGATGGACATTGAGGGTTTGGAGGTTAGGAATTTGAAAAATATTCAGAATAAACTAGAGGTCTGGTTCATGGATTTGTGCACAGGTGGGGTCCCTCGGTCTGCCTGTGGGGATTGGGCTGAGACCAGCTCTCTGACATCCTTCGAGGGGTCCCAGAGTTTGAGAGGACAGTTCTCAGATGATGCACCCTGGAATCGGGCTCCCTTCTCTCTGGTTCTGGGTGCATCACCTGAGAACCACAGCTGCCGAGTCATTGCAGTTCATCAGCTCCTGCATTGAGCATCTTCCCCCTGGTGGTCAGTATACATCATAGCTACCAGTCAGACAGTTGCTTAGGAATATAAATATATTCCTTAGCATATATATATATATATATATATATATATATATATATGCTAAGCCTCTATGTCCTGCTGATGAAGACAGTGGATAGTAAAGTCATGTTAACCAAGGCAACCAAAAGATAAAGTCATGACTATGCAGACAGTAAGTTGTGGGAGCATTTGGTCTTGGGTTTGAATGCTAAGGACCAGTTTGGAATACAAGAGGGGAATCATTTGAGTAAGGACAGGTAAAGATAATGAGGAAGCAGGACTGACATGGAGTTTAGCTAAAGTAATTCTCACCCCTAGTGGGTGTGGAGGGCAGGTGAAGGTAGGGAGGTTGACTGACAGTACAAAGGTGAAAAATATTTGGATGCATATATCTATGATTTACTTCATATATTATAACTCTTCTTTTCTTTCTTAACTAATTCTTCTGTTGTTGTTGTATACTAAAGTTCCAAATTAAGCAATTCTTTCTAGATGTTGCTTAAACAACAGGGAGAGCAAATGGTAGAGGTGACTATTAGTACTTGTGGGAAAATGTAGAAAGATCATCGAATGGAGTGTGTAAACTTTTTTTTAATATGCCCGTTTAGGGGATCATCCTGGAAATCTGCCCTTTTGTTCCTATTGTCTATCTTTACAAAACTCTTTTAACTATACTCCTTTAATTCCTCTTTCTCATAATCTGATTCTGGGGAGTCACATAGGTATCAGGAAAGTTTCTTTTGGTACCTCTGCCTGGTGGCTCTTTATATGATTTTATGTTATTAATTTTAACTTTAGGCCCTTTCTTCAGTTCTTGGAGCTCTTATTTTTCACTGGGAAATATTGCCTCAGCTGAAGCTTTATATATATATATTCCAAAAACCTATATATATATATATATTTCAAACAGGAAGGGAGAGGGAGAGAAAGATAGAAACATCAATGATGAAAGAGAATTAGATTGGCTGCCTCCTCCTAGTGGGGATCAAGCCTGTGACCCAGTCATGTGCCCTGATCTGGAACTGAACTGCGACCTATGGTTCATTGGTTGAGGCACAACCATTGAGTCACACTGGCTGGGCACTTTTTTCTGAGATTTCCCTAAGTAGGGCTCCTAAAGAACAGACTTTGATTAAATTCTTTTAATTCATAAAACTTAAAGCAACAAGTTGTTTTGGAAAAGTTTGCTCAAGAAATAAAATTACATTTTAAGTAATATTCAAATCAGAAACCTCCTTTTCTGTAAAGCTCATTTGTGCTACACTGTGTTACCTCCTACGTTCTCATATTTAAGCTCATTTGAATGAGTTGTAGTTGCAGATTTAATAAAAGTTCAATCCTCTTTATAGTTCTAGTAAGTGTCAATCTCTAAACCCTTCCCAGCCACTCGCTCCCTTCTCTTTCTTTTCTTTATTTTTCAAATGTATTTTTATTAATTTTAGAGAGGAAGGGAGAGAGATAGAGAGACCGAAATATCAATAATGAGAGATAATCACTGATTGGCCACCTCCTGCACAACCCTTACTGGGGATCAAGCCCACAACCCAGGCATGTGCCCATGGCCTGAATCAAACCTGGGACCCTCCAGTCCGCAGATTGACGCTCTATCCACTGAGCCAAACTGGCCAGGGCATCCTTCCCTTCTCTGATTATGCATTTTGTTTTAATCATCAATCTGTACAGTCATTTCATATGTCCTTTTCCCCTGTATATTTATTTATTTTTACACCATTTTTCATACTAGATTTTTATATAAGTTAGTAAATGACTATTAGTT